CAGGGACAGTGAGTGAGTCTCAGTCCATGGTGACAATGAGTGGTAGTGACAGTGAATGTGTGTCGCTCGGTGGTGACAAAGATCCATGACGCATCCATGACGTCATTGAACACCAACACCAAACTCCCTGCTGTCGTGTTGATGCTGACTCACAGCGACCCCACAGGACAGGGCAGAACTGTCCCTGTGGTTTCTGAGACTAACTCTTCATGAGAGTAGAAAGCCTCGTCTTTCTCCCAAGGAGTGCCTGGTGGTTTCGAACTGCTGACCTTGCGGTGAGCAACCCAAAGAGTGACCACTGTGCCACCAGGGCTCCGACATCACTGAGTAGCACTTGTGAAAATGTTTGGCCTGGCAAAAAAATCACATAAAGAAATAAAGAAAAAAAACATAAAACAAGGACTCAGGGTCCTTTGAGGCATTCAGAGGGAGGCCAGCAACAGCTCCAGATCTCAATGGGATGAAACCACACACACACACACACACACACACACACACACACACCCTTCTCAGCCATGCTCCTGGTTTCGGCTGGCAGCTGAGGCTCTGGGTGGGTCATCCTGGCTGGCTGGGAAGGGCAATGTCACGGGGACTTGGCAGCCCGCCTGAACTTTGAACCTACCGGCAGTCAACCATGATCTACAAGGCATCCAAGAAACTGGCTCTTGGAAACAGGGCTCCAGGCCTGGAGATTTACCGGGAACAGGCAGTGCCAACCCAACCCACCCTACCCCACCCCACCCTCGCGTCCACCCTTCCCTTCCAAGGTTTTCCAAAGCCCAGAGCAATGAGGATATCTGAAAAGGCTCCCTTGGAAACCTGGGAAGTGGGTCCAGCCCAACAATAATCACCCACCCCTCTCCCTCCTGTTGCCACGTTAGGTGCCGCCCAGCCGGCTCTAGCTCACAGCGACCCTCGCACAACCGAACGAACACCGCCCGGTCCCGCCACCCTCACCACTGCCCATCGTCGCAGCCACGGTCAGTCCACCGTGTCGAGGGCCTCCTCCTCCTCGCTGCCCCTCTACTCGACTGAGCATGGTGTCCTTCCCCAAGGGCTGCTCCCTCCTGACAGCACGCCCCAAACACGCCAAGCCCAGTCTCGCCACCCCCGCTCCTGAGGCGTGCCCTGGGTGCACATCTCCCAAGACAGATCCGTCTGTTCTTCTGGCCGTCCGTGCAGCTCTCAATACCCTTTCAGCACCATCCCTCAACGTATGGGTGCTTCTCCGGCCCTCCTTACGCCCCGCCCGCCCGCCCGGCTTTCCTGTGTGTGCAAGAGGAATGAAAACAGCGCGGCTTGGGGTCGGGCTCATCCTGTCTTCCCAGGGACAGCCCTGCCTCTCAACCCTGTCAAGAGGGCTTGTGCAGCCCGGAGGCATGTGGTGGTTGATGTCTTGACCACTGCTTCTGCGAGCTTCGATGGTGGATCCAAGGGAAAGGAAGTTACTAAATGACCCACGTAAACTATAAAGGTTGTCGGTGGGCTAATCCCTCTGAAGTGGGCAGCCTGGCCCTCCTTCCAGGTCGGCTCTTACCCTGAAAGCGCTGCTGAAAGCTTCACCACCGTGGTTGACCCTGCTGGTGCTGGCAACAGTCGTGCCACCGCTTCCAGCCACCACAAACGACAGACCAACAGACTAGAGGTGGGGTGAAAGGTGCAGCTTGTAGACAGCTGCACCCCAGCGTAATAAACGACCTTTCCACATAACCGTAACACCACCAAAGCCAGCCAGGGACTTCACCACCCAGGTTCCTGCGCAGTTAGCCATGACATTGTGGCCAGTGGTATCGACGGGGACATCAACTGGGCATTACTGAAAAGCATTTGCCCTCCTAGGAAATGGGGTAACAGTGAGAAGAGCCCACTCGCTTTCCCTCCCCCATCCTTTCCCCTGCCACAGGTGTGAAGGTGAAGGCTGGAGCCGTGGCAGCCACCTTGTGGCTGGGAGGCAGCCAGCATGGGCTGATGGCCCAGCCCATGGGAGATGGCAGAGAGGAAACCCAGAAAATGAGGAAGTCACCCAGTGGGTCTGTGATGGATCGATCGCAGGCAGGGTGAGCAGTCTCACGGGTTCTGACGGGACGGCACAGTCGCCTCTGACCCCAGAGCCTTGTTCTTCCCACCTCACAGTGCTGCCTCCTCAGGAGGGAGGGAGGCAGACAGGGGTGGGGCCGTTGGGAAGGGGATATCCCCTGGGTCTGGGGAAGACAGGAGAGGACTGTGGGAAATGTGTCCCCAAGGGGGTCACCTGCTACTTTCAAACCTCCAGAGCAGCCCCCCTTCCCCACCCCCTGCTGCCCCGTGCCCACCGGTTTAAGAGATGCATCTGTTTCTGTGGTTCCTAAGCTTTTACAACTGTACCTTGCATGTAGCAGGGGCAGCGAGTGCCTGTTGATTTGGGAGAAACCACGGATGCCACTACCATCAGGAGGGGAGGGAGAGAAAGGAAGAGGAGAGCAGGGTAGAGTGGAATAGAACTTCCCATGTGAGTTCCTAAGGCTGTCAACCTTATGAGAGCAGAAAACCTCAGATCTCTCCCACCGAGCAGCTGGTAGGTTAGAACGGCTGACCTTGTGGTCAGCAGCCTGTGTTAGCTTGGATTCTCTAGATGCAGAACCAGTGCCCCTTCCTGTTTCATAAAGAGAGATTTATACCAAGACATGGCTTACTCGCCATGTTAGAAATGGGTCCGTCCAGTACAGTTTGAGTCAGGTGTCTCCTGACTTGTGGGAGCTGAGGACCAGGAAGCAGGAGGATGAAGCAGAGACAGGGGAGGGGGGCACAGGCTGGTGGATGCAGAGGTAAATGAATCTGCCCTGGGTCATCCACAGACAGCTGCTGGGATGAGCAGGCCCTGCTATGGGAGCTGGTGGACCCAAATGCAAGAGCCAGCTCGGACAGAATGAGGAAGGCCAGAGGGGCTTGACTCTGCTCAGTCTCTCTCTTTCACAAAGGGCCACCCCCAAGCAGGGGTGTGCAGGCTGTGACCTGATTGATAAGTTGGACTCTACCCCTACCCTGACTCAGGAGGGTCTAGGTGACGTCCTCCCTCACCACCACACCCCCTCAACTTAAATCTTTAAAACCTTACCAACTTGCTGAGCAGAGATGCCAAGATGTAGCCTCCCTCCCTCTCTAACTAGTAGTCTGCCTGGCTATTAAAGGCTTCTAGTTTTCACCCCAGCTGATACTCTGGGGAGCCCCGGGCTGGTAACTCCAGTGGCAGAGAACTCGGGAGAAAGGCCTGGCAATGTGTTCTGACCCTTCGGGCCTCAGAAGCCCTCCCCACGCCCCCCAGGGCACAGTCCTCTGGACACACTGCTGCTGCTCAGCATCCGATTACCTGTGGGCACTTTGGGTTTCCTGGGGCAGCTGCCTGGAGTCCAGGGGCATGTGGGAAAAGACCCTGGACCCTGAGGGGACTGGAGTCCATGTCGGCCGGTCCTATTGCAGAAGACCAGCCCCCCTAGATTAGACGGAGTCTCTGACCAAGTCAAGGAGGCCCTCAGAACTGAAACTCCTGTGGGATGGGTGGAATTGTGTCCCACACACACACCAAAAAAAGCATACCTTGCCATCCTAACTTCTATGCCTGTGGAGGATCCCAGGGGATGCAGGATCCCAGGATACATGCTCAGACGCTAACCAAAAGGTCAGGAGTTCGAACCCACTCTGCCACTCTTTTGAAGCAGAGGAGGTGGCAGTCTGCCTCCGGAACATGACCGCCTTGACCAGCCGACAGGGACAGTGACACTCTGCCCCAGAGGGGAGCTATGGGTCAGAACCACCCCATTGCAACAGGACTGGTGTCTCATTTTCAGGGACCACCACTTGCCTGTCTATCGTACTGCGGTGGCTCACGTGTGGCTGTGTTGCTGGGAGCTGCACCGGCGGCATTTCAAATGCCCGCAGGGCCACCCAGAGTGAACGGGTCTCAGCGGCACTTCCTGAGTCAACACAGACTATGAAGGAGAAATAGGCTGCCCCCTTCACGGGAAGTGGCCCCTGGAAACCGTGTGGATCACCGAGGGACCCTGTCAGGGAGGGTGCCGGCAGATGAGCCCCTCAGGCACCCAACCTGCCCGGTGTGTGGCTGCAACTATCGGCTCAAACAGACCACAACAATGGCGAGGACGGCGCGGGACCACGCAGCATTTCATGCTGCTATCCGTAGGATCACTACGGGTCAGAACTCAGAATTGACCCAGCAGCACCCTAAGAGCAACCAGCAATAGGAAATGGGGAGGACTGGACCAACGGTGGAGCCCCCATGGTGGAGTGGTTAGGCATTGGGCTGCGATCCACATGGTCAGCAGTTCGAAACCACCAGCAGCTCCTCCCTCGGGAGGAAGACTGGGCTTTCTATTCCCATTAACAGCTACCATCTCAGAAACCCATGGGGCTCGATATGAGTCAGCACCAACTGGGTGGCAGGGAGCACCAAGCTGGGAGAGATTATGGCTGTCAGGGGAGGGAGCGAGCTGGACTTGTCTCCAGCCCTTGGTTGCCATGTGCCTTTGGGACGGCCAAACCTTACCATTTCCTTACAGCAGTCTGTCAAAATCTACAAGGTGACTGCTGTCGTTCTTAGATGCTGTCCGATTGGTTAGAACTCCTACTGACCACAGACCCAACAGAGGGAAGCACTGGCCAGTCCTGCGCTCATTGCTGCAGCCTCTGTGCCCGTCCATCTCCTGGAGGGTCTTCCTCTTTCCCACTGACCTTCTTGCTTTACCAACCATGATGCTCTTCTCCAAGGGCTGGCCCCTCCTGACGGCACGTCCAAGGGATGTGTGATGAGCCCTCCCCACCAACCCCCGGCCCCTTCTAGCTCCCATGGAGCTCATGGTCCATGTGGTGGGAACACCTTTTCTAGGAAGGCCACCAGAGAGCTCAGATGAGGGTTCCCTTTGTGGGTCTGGGGCTGTAGTTGTTGCTGAGTGTGTGTCCATTCCTTTCCCTGGGAGGGGCCAGCCTGGCACATGCTTTGCCTGTCACTCCCCTAGCAGGCTTCACTCACGGATAAGCTTGGGGCTAAAGGTCGCCTCTGAGACCACTCCTTAAGGCTACACAGAGGGTCACATGCGCTCCAGGGGGGCCCCCTCACCCAGCAAGGACACCACAATGATCCCCAAGAGCCTGGCAGCAGGCCCCCACACAGCAGGAGCTCAGTAGATGTCTGTGTACTTCCTGCAGTTGAGCCTGCTTTGCCCAGTGGTAGGGTGTCAACTTGGCTCATCCAGGATTGGCAGGCACTTAGGACCAGGTAACCCTCCAGGAGGTGTCCTCCCAGTGGGATCTGCTGTGAGCAGCCAAGCAGTTGGAAGAAGCTTAGGGTGGGTTGAGATTGAGGGGGCATTTCCTGGGGGTGTGGCCACCTCTCTTCTTGCAGGTCCAGCTACTGCATTGGGTTCATCCACTTCTGTTTCTGGGGATGGAAGCCAACGGTCCACCATATTGCTGGTCAATGCTGGGAGCCATCAGAGTCTGCCCTCTGGCCCGCCTCTCTTAGACTCATTCATCTCCATATCTGCTTACAGGGATCTTCCCGCTTCATCAGCCCCAGCAGCTACACAAGTCAGGAGAAACCTCTGGCTCTAACATCTGACCCATGGACGTGAACCAGACTGGATTTACCCACTTCTACAACTGTGCCAGCCACTTTCCTGATATAAATTTACTTTGTTGTTGTTGGTTCTGACTCATAGGCACCCTGTACACAACATACTGAAACACTGCCTGGCCCCATGCCATCATCACGCTTGTTGTATGTTTGCATCCACTGTTGCAGCCATTGTGTCCGTCCAGCTTGTCTAGGACCGTCCTCTCGCTGGCCCTCCACTTGACCAAGCATGATGCCCTTCTCCGGGGACTCGTGTCTCCCGAGAGCATGCCCAAAGTAGGTGAGATGACGGCTTGGCAACCTTGAGGAGCATTCTGGCTGTACTTCTTCTAAGACAGAGGTGTGGCTTCTTTTGGCAGTCAGTGGTACTTGAAACATTGTTTGCCAGCACCGTAATTCAGAGGCATCCATTTCCCTCCGGTCTGCCTTATTCAATGTCCACCTTTCACAGGCACGTGAGGCAACTGAAAACACCTGATTTGGGTCAGGTGCACCTTAGTCTCCACAGCGACAGCCTTCTTCTTCCACAGTTAACAAGAGCTCTGGCGCCCCAGATTTACCCAACACCGTGTCTTGACTGCTGCTTTCTTGGTTATTGATTGTGGATCCAAGCAAGATGAGATTCTTGACCGCTCCGATCCTTTTCTCCGTGTATCATGATTGGTCCACTTGTGACAACTTTTATTTTCTTGACATTGAGTTGCAATCCCTACAGAAGGCTGCCACCCTTCATCTCCAGAGTGAATGCTTCAAGTCCTCCTCCCTTTCGGCAAGCAAGAGCGTGTCATCGTTTACGTATACACAGGGGAGCATCGTTGAGTTTACTTCTCTAGAGAACTCAGGCCCACACAAGGTTGGTGGGAATACATCTCTGTCAATAGCCTATTGAGATGGCTGTATTCAGTAGCCGCACATAAGTTCATCTTGACAATGCCATTTGTCAATTTAGATGAGGGACCATTGTATGCAGCTAATCCTGGCTGCTTGGTCCACCTGCAGGAGAGCACGCAGGCTTTCTGACATGAAGACAATGCCTTGTGCTGATGTCATGCACCCCATTATCCTGAAGAAGCTCCTCTGTGAGCCCCACAATTACCTGGAGGGACAGCTGGATGGAGGGAATAATAGAGCCAGCACTTTGATTGGCACTTGCTGTGACCCAGATACACAACAAATGCAAACAAGACCGGTTGCCAGCAAGTTATTTCAGACCCTCGGTGCCCCACCTCCCCCCACCACGACCGCACAGCATCGAACTAACCCCAGGGTTTTTTTCTGGCTGTAATCTTCACAGAGGCTCAAAACCAGGCGCTTTTTTTTTTTTTTTTTTTTTTTACCAAGGTGCCCCATACAGATTCGAACCTCCAACCTCATTAGCAGTCGAGTGCAAACCGTCCTCATCACCTAAGGAGCTTATGTCTATTCCCTGGCTCAGTCCTCAGAGGTGGACTATCTTACGGTCACCATTTCACAGCTGAGGGCACGGCAGGTCAAAAAGGAGAAGGGTCTAAGACGGTAGAGTGGGAGTTCAAACCCCCGTCATCCGACGTCAACCCGTGTCTCCAGGAAGGAGCCAGGAGAGGCGGGAGAGGCTGCCTCGGTTTGCACCGCTTGAAGCAAAATGACAGCACGACGGGGCATTTTGTTGGTTGGGAGCAAAGGCCAAATTCAACAGCAACAGCCCCCTCGTTCTTACCTCTCAAGTGTTTTGAAAGACTGGATGATATCCTTTGCGTGTCCCCAAAGAAAGTAAACCTAGATGGAAAGAAAAGACGAAAAGAGAGACGTGTCATTCGGAAACGCCCCTTACGTCAGCACACCTGAGAAGCACTAACACAGGTCTGTGGCGTCCCAGGCGGGAGCTGTGCAGAAGGGGCTCTCGGAAGGCAGAGGGTAGGAGGTGGAATGGTGCTGCAATCCATTGGGGATGTCTGCTGCGGAATGGGTGTGGGTTTGGGGACTGGCAGCCTGCCTGAGACACCATGGGCAGGAGCATAGCAACTGTGAGGATGGTACAGGACCACACAGTGTTTCATCTGCTGTGCCTGGGGCCGTAATGGGTCAGAACTCGCTCGAAGACAACTGTGTGCCCTGTCCAGAAACCAAACGTGGAGGAGCCCAATTCTGAAGAACAGGGCTGATCCATGTCACTCTTTTCCTTCTGAGGCCCAGTCTCCTGGATGGGGCCAACAGTTCATGCACTTGGCTGCTCACCAAAAAGTTGGCTGTTGGAGCTTCCCCAGAGGTAGCTCAGAAGAAAGAGCTGGCAATCTTAATTCAAAAGTGGCAGCCACTGAAGCCCTCCACATTCTGAAGCCACGGAGGCTGGATGAACCTCTGAAACCATGGCCCTCAGATCCTCCTTGAACCCTAAGCCAACATATCCCCCTGAAGTCTCCTGACAAAACCAAACCGTGCATTAGCTGATCAGAGGGGGAAAGGTGGCATGATGCTCTGGAGAACTACTGGTGTGGGGTCCATGGACAACCGCAACTTGTGGGAGGAGATCGGGAACTTTGGGAGCAGCAGGGTTCTGTGAGTGAGGGGAGAACGGCTGATAAGGAGATGCTGCTGTTGTTGGTGGCGTTGGGTGGGTCCCGACCCATAGCGGCCCTGTGCCCATCAGAACAGAGCACCTCCCGGGCCTGCGCCATCCTTGCCGAGTCCCGGCCTTGGGACTGCAGGAAACCTTTCTGGGTCTGTGACATGGCTTGGAAAATGAGACCCCCTTGGAGAGTGCTGTGAGTAAGCCCCAGGAGATCATGCAGGCAGACCACATCTGAAATTCTCCCTCCGTGTTGGCTCCCATGCACTCAACTCATTCCCTGGCATTACTGAGCGCTTACTGTGTACCAGGCATGATTGGCATTTATTGAGCACCTGCTGTGTCCCAGGCATCTCTGTAATTGTTACAATGTTTTAGGGCCTCGTTTAAGACACAGACTCATCATGAGCACCTACTGTGAGCCCAGCCCCACTGGACACTTGATACATTTGTCTCACTTAAGCTTCAGGCTGCCGTGATGGTCTAATAGGGAGAAGTTCAGATGGCAGTTTTAAAGGTAGACTTTCACATATCTCTTCTGTGTTGTTTCCCTGAAAGGAGCCCTGGTAGCCGAGCGGTTACCTCTTGAGCCACTAACCTCAAGGTCAGCAGTTCAAAACCACCAGCTGCTCCTCGGGAGAAAGAGGGAAAGGAGGAAGCTCTCTACTCCCGTAAAGAGTTACCGCCTGGGAAACCCACGGGGCAGCTGCACCTTGTCCTTTAGGGTGGTCAGAGCTGACTGGATGATGTGAGTGTGGTTTCATTAAGACTGACTGCCCTGATCTGGGACACACTTCCAGTATTGATGAACGCCAAATTGCATGTCTTTGCTTTGTTAGTTTATTTTTTAAAGCACTTTTACTGACATCTGACTCCCACACAATTCAATCTTTGGGTGTGTTAAAAAGAGTGTAGGACGGCCACTAGCATCAATTAGAGAGCATTTTCTTCATTCTCGTTCTCGTTGGCTCCCCTTCCCCGCCCTCCAGCGTCCGCTGTCATAACCCTAAGAACTATTCACTGGGTGGCTGTCTCTCTCAACTGCCTCTCTCAGGGTGTCTGCCTGGATTCCAGATAAAGAAAAGCAAGCGATGCTTCCCATAAAGGCGACGTGGCACCCACTGCCAGGCTCAGGGTTCACTGTGAACTGCAGGACTCGGAAGAGAAGAGCAGGGGCCCTCTCTGTAAAACCCGGACAAACATGGGCATGCCCATGAAAAAGAAAAAGTTGAAATGGCAGATCTTTTCTTGATTTTTTTTTTCAAGCCAGCTTGCACGTCACTAAAAGGACCCGAGTCAGTGCTGTTGTTTTCACGTTTCCTCCTTTGACAGCCGCGCAGCACAGGGCTTAGCACTGAGGGGTTTTCGCTCCTCGTTAAACCCGATGGGGTTTTGTTTGTTTCGTCTGCAGGGTTTTTAAGGCTGTGACCTCTCTCTCTCTCTCTCTAACTTTCTTCATGTCCATTTCCCCCTTTTGTTTGTGGGTAGAATACATATGAGGAATACGGTATCTCCTCTCTGTGGCTGTCCAGGCAGCTCATCAAACCAGGGACAGGGTCCTACCATCACCACACACACACACACACACACACACACACACACACATGTGCTCCTTGTTTCTGCTTTTTCTCTTTTCTCTCCCACTCTCCCTCCTTTACTCTCCTGTCCCTCTCTCTGCCCCTTGCCTCACTCCCCACTCCCCCTCACCCCCACCCCCACAGCAAGACCCTGGCCGCGTCATGTCTTTAAAGCCTTATTCTTGGCTGTAAAAGCCATTTTCCTTTTTTTTTCCTCTTCCTCATTTATAACAGTGGTGTCGTAAGATATTTAACTCGACGAAACTGGCTGACTGTGCTAAGTATAATGTGCTCTCGTTTTGTCCAGGTCTTAAGGTGTTTGACAGACTCCTCGTGGTCTTTTAAGGATGCATCATACTCCCTCGGAAGATCAAGGATGGCAGCCTTCAGGATGGATCACAGCTCAACGCCAAGACGGCCAAGACCCTCACAACTGGACCGTCAGGTCACATCATGCGGACTGGAGAAAAGGCTGACGTCCTCAAGGGTTGTCCTCCTTGACCCACAAGCAGTGCGCGTGGAAGCGGCAGTCAAGAGATCAAAGGACGAGTTGCATTAGGTCCATCTGCTGCACACGACCTCTTAAGGGTGTTGAATAGCAAGGATGTTACTTTGAGGATGGAGGGGCGCCTGGGCCAAGCCACGGTGTTCCCCATTTCCTCACATGCGTGTAAACGTTGGGCATTGACTAAGAAGACTGAAGGAGAACCCCTGCCTTTGAACGGTGGTGCTGGAGAAGAACGTGGACTGCCCAAAGGCCAAGCAAGCCTGTCTTGGAAGAAGTACGGCCGGAGTGGTCCTTAGAGGCAAGGGTGGGGAGACTTCGTCTTAGATCCTTTGGACACGTTGTAGGAGAGACCAGTCCCTGGACGAGGGCATCATGCCTGGCAAAGCCGAGGGGCGGCGAAGAGGAAGACCCTGAGGGGACAGATTGACGGAGCGGCTGCCACAGCGGCTCAGGTACAGGGACAATGCGGAGGACGCGCCGGACGGGGCAGTGTTCCCTTCTCTCGCGCACAAGGTCACTATGGGTCAGGACCAACGGGATGGTACCTGGAAACAATGTTTCCTTGTGTGAATGTGCCAGGGATTGTTGCTCCATCCCTCTATTGTCAGAATATTAGATCTTTCCACCTTTTGCTATTATAGAGATTGTGGCATCCGGGCGCAGCAGAGCACCGATGGATCATGCAATATTCCTCTGATTCCTGGAGGCTTCCACACCC